TTTCTTAAGGGATAATGCTACGAGTTACAGCTGTTCCAATCTGGCATCAAAAGAAATAGGCAACTACCTTTCTTCAAAACTTTATAAAAGTTAAATATTTGAGAAAGGAAGCGGTGAAGAATCAAACCCTGGAGAACTCACAGTCAGGAAACTGGTGAATGAGTCAGAAAAGCACAGTGAGAAAGAGAAACAGGAGACATAAGAATAGAAATGGGTGAGGACAGTGTTTTTAAAGCCAAGAAAATAATTTCGAGTTTGCTGTTAAATACTAGAACAATAAACATGTGGCTAAAACATCTCCACTTCCCAGTTATGCTCTGCCCCTCCCAGCTCTTAAGACAGAACATGGTTTGTGGGGAGACGTTCAAGTTCTTTATCCCATCTCAGAAAAATTGGGTAACGTCCATGTTAAAAAAAAAATGGAAAAGGTCTGATTCTTATGATTACTTTCAAGAAAAAACTGGGTATGGTTTAGATAATAGCAAGTTCAGTTAATAAAAAGTTTAGATAATAGCAATTCTGGGAACATTTACAAATAACTCACTAAATCTCATTGGGTGTTTTGCTAATGAGATGTATCATTTCTAGAGGCATAATTTAAGGGTATGCTAAATACAAGTCCTAATAACCATCAAAGTTCATCTTTTTTAGTTGAAGAATCTCTTTTATTTGGAGACCTGGAAACAACAGAATATGAAAACTAACAAGATCAATCACAGAGAGGTCCATTTTCCCAGCATCTACTAAATGCCAGGGCCGGGGCTAAATGTTAGTATATATTTTCTTTCATTTAAGCCTGTCAACAGCTCTGACAAGAGAAGTCCTATCCTCATGTAACAGATGAAGAAACTGAGGTTCAATGGACTGGACAAATTGTAGTGGCAAAGAGGAAATCCAAGCTTGTATTTGTGTCAGCAACAGTCCCTCACCCAGTGACCATCAATGCTGTGGTGTCTCCAGCAGTAAAGAATGGCTAAAAAGGGAACCATCCAAGATGGCCGATCGCTAACATCCCGGGATTGCAGCTCTCAGGGAAGGCGCGGAGAACTAGAGGACGCCACACTTTCAGACAAAGTCTGGTCGCTCACGAAGCAGAAGATCCCCCAGTGGTGGAAACACATGAGTCGCCAGCGCGACTCTCATGGTCGGCGCAGCGGTTCCACCGGCACCTCGAGGCGGCAGCGCTCGGCGCAGAGTAAACGGGAACGGTTCCCCTTCTGACCGAGGTTTGGAGCCCGGGGAAGGCAGAGTCACTTACTACGGAAACAAGAAGGAAGCCCGACAGGAGAATCCTGGGCAGAAAAGCACCATCAGTTTTAACGCCGCTGCTCTGGCCCTGGGAACTAACAACCTGGACGTCCACTCAAGAGACCTAATCTGAAAGTTGGTAATTTCAAAGACGACAGGAGGATAAATTTACAATGACGGGAAGAAACCAGCGTAAAAAAGCTGAGAATACTCAAAGTCAGAACGCCTCTCCCTCTAAAGATGATCACAGTTCCACATCAACAATGGAACAAGGCTTGATGGAGAACGAGCGCCTCCTGATGACAGAATCACTCTTCAAGGAATGGATAATAACAAACTTCGGTGAGTTAAAAGAACATGTTGTAGCCCAACGTAAAGAAACTAGGAACTTTGAAAAAAGGTTTGATGAAATCCTATTGAGAATAGACAACTTAGAGAGGAGTATGAGTGAATTAATGGAACTGAAGAATACAATACAGGAACTCCGAGAAGTATGCACAGGTTTAAACACTCGAATTGTTCAAGCAGAAGAAGGGATATCAGAGGTCAAAGTCCAACTTAATGAAATAAAACGTGAAGAAAAGATTAGAGAAAAAAGGATAAAAAGGAATGAGCAAAGTCTCCAAGAAATGTGGGACTATGTGAAAAGACCAAATTTACGTTTGATAGGTGTACCTGAATGCAACGGAGAGAATGAATCCAAGCTGGAAAATACCCTTCAGGATATTATTCAGGAAAATTTTCCTAAACTAGCAAAGCAGGCCAACATTCAACCCCAGGTAATACAGAGAACACCACAAAGATATTCCTCAAGAAGAGCAACCCCAAGGCACATAATCGTTAGATTCACCAGGGTTGAAATGAAGGAGAAGATACTAAGGGCAGCCAGAGAGAAAGGTCAGATTACCCACAAAGGCAAGCCTATCAGACTTACAGCAGATCTCTCGGCAGAAACTCTACAGGCCAGAAGAGAGTGGGGGCCAATATTCAACATCCTCAAAGAACAGAACCTTCAGCCCAGAATTTCATATCCAGCCAAACTAAGCTTCACAACTGAAGGAAAAATAAAATCTTTTATGAACAAGCAAGAACTCAGAGATTTTATTACCACCAGGCCTGCTTTACAAGAGCTTCTGAAAGAAGCATTACACACAGAAAGAAACAACCAGTATTAGCCTTTCTAAAAATACACCAAAAAGTAAAGAGCACCAACATAAAGAAGAATTTACACCAACAAATGGATAAAACAGCCAGTCAACATCAAATGGCAGTAACCCTAAATTTAAATTGACTAAATTCCCAATCAAAAGACACAGCCAAAACCCAACGGCATGTTACATCCAGACCTGTTTCACATGCAAGGATACACAAAGACTCAAAACAAAGGGATGGAGAAAGATTTACCAACCAAATGGAGAGCAAAAATAAATAATAAATAAATAAAAAGCAGGAGTTGCAATTCTTGTATCAGATAAAATAGATTTTAAAGCAACAAAGATATAGTGGTAAAAGGATCAATGCAACAACAAGAGCTAACGATCCTAACACCCAGATAGGAGACTTAGATTCAATGAGACAGAAAATTAATAAGGATAACAAGGACTCGAACTCAGATCCAGAACAAGTAAACTTAATAAATATTTATAGAGCTCTCCACTTCAAATACACAAAATATACATTCTTGTCAATACCACATCACACCTACCCATAAGTTTAAATGAAACATTGATTGGCCATTATTAATACCCAATTTTTTTCAAAATAAAACAATATTTCCATTTACTCTCCCTCTTTCTCTTCCTCTCCTTTACTTACTTTTTTTTTTTTCTTTCCTTCTTTCAAAAAAAAAGAAATCAACTTGTAAACCTCTAGATCCAGGTCGGCAATGTCTCTTTCATTGCTTGATTTCCTTTCTTCCCTTCCCTCCCTCCCTCCCTCCCCACTTCCTCCCTTCCTTCCTTCCTTCATCCCTTCCTTCCTCCCTACCGTCTTTATTCCCTTCCTTCCTGCCTTCCTCCCCCCCCCAAAAAAAGAGAGAGAAAAAAAAAAAAAAAAAGAATGGCTAAAAAAGAGCAGACCTCAGTTTTGCGTTTATGTTGGTCCCAAACATTAATTAACTCCCTGTATTTACAATTCATTGTCTTTCAGTGATTTTTATATTTTTACTGATTGGCAGAAGAGGGCTTTGAGAAGGAATTTAAAAGACAGGGGTCTTAAAGTGGGATGGTATTTAGCATTAGAGGGACTGGCCTCTTCTCACTTCTCAGCTGATCATTTTTTTGGGCACCATCACGGGCTTTGAGAACAGTCAGAACTCTGAGTGACACTAAAATACTAACTCTTCATTGAGCAAGTGACATCTATGAGAAAGTCTCACTTTCATAAGATAGCCACCAATTTCAAACAAACAAAAAAGGTTACTTTAAATAGTTGTATAGATAGTCTTGACACATAGGTTGAGGTTTTAGATAATCTTGGACATATTGAAATGGCCTGAATATAACAATATTTTTTTCTTTTTTTTTTTTTTTTTGAGACAGAGTCTTGCTCTGTCGCCAGGCTGGAGTGCAGTGGTGCAATCTTGGCTCACTGCAACATCCGCCTCTTGAGTTCAGGCAATTCTCCTGCCTCAGTCTCCCAAGTAACTGGGACTACAGGAACATGTCATCATACCCAGCTAATTTGTGTATTTTTAGTAGAGACAAGGTTTCACCATCTTGTCCAGACTGGTCTTGAACTCCTGACCTCCCAACACAATTTTATTTATCAAAAACTACTAGCTAAAATTATAAAATTATATTTTCTTGTCTATTTGTTTTTGAGGAAAGGTCTTGTTCTGTTGCCCAGGCTGGACTTCAGTGGCACTGTCACAGTTCACTGCAGCCTCGACCTCCCAAACTCCAGAGATCCTCCCACCTAAGCCATCTGAGTAGCTGGGACTACAGGCACATAACAAGCCTGACTAATTTTTAATTTTTTTTTGTAGAGACAGGGTCTTATTATGTTGCTCAAGCTGTTCACGAACTCCTGGGCTCAAGTTATCCTCCTGCTTCAGTGTCCCAAAGTGCTGGGATTACAGGCATGAGCCACTGTGCCTGGCCACTTTCTTGTCTTGAAAGGTGACGTTTCAGTGATTTTTATAAGTTGCAAAACTTTAAAGGGTTATATTACCAAAAATTGCTTAGATGGAGCTTATGAGATCCAGCATTGTCAAAGATCTCATGACAGGAAACTTGGGTTCAAGCCCTATCTCCATCTTACCGGTGTTGTGAGCTTGTCAAGGTTACTTAAACTCCTTGAGCTCTGGTTCCCTCATGTATAAAGGAATAATAATAAGAAGATTGTGAGGGGATTACATGATATAATTACATAGAGCACTTAGCAGAGTACCTGGTGTGGTTAATGCCCATGAGGAGGATTTGAATTATTTTCTAAAGTGGGAGGACTATACTTTTACTCACAGTATGTGTAAAAGTGTAATATTATCTATAGATAGTCTTGATAATTAATATTTGTTTAACACTTATTATTATATACCAAGGAGAATTATACAATAAATGGTTTTACTAGGTTTTAAATCACTCATATCATTATTAAGAAATTATGTTCTGTCTTCCAGCACAGAAATGATACTTGGTTCAAAAACCTTCAGTGATATCCAGACACCGTTTACCTTCCCTACAGGCCCCCCCTACTAATGATATCCCTGTAGAATACAGTAGAGGTCTTTCTATGTTCAGGAAATCACTGACCTTGGCGGCCGAGGCTGTTCCATCAGCATAGGCTCTGGAGGATTGACTGCTCCTGAGGCTTGTTGCTTTTTTCTTGAAAATAAAAAATATTAGTTTCAATGGGGAAAACACCTTACCAATATAGTCAAATGCAAACTTACATATCAATACAAATATTTTCTCAAGCAAAAATCAGACTAATATTTGAAACACACCCAAAGTAAACATATGCTTTTAATTTTTCGTAACTTTGCCTGAAGATGATATAAATATTAAAATGAAGAGTACGTTGAATAAATCTAAACTGTTCAATATTCAATGAGTTTGGAGAACTGCAAAACTCACCAGGGCAGTTGTCACACACTTCCAAGAACATCACTCTCCTTTCCAGTGCCACGGAGAGTATACAATGTTACAATGTCTATGGAGGGTGATTTAGCAATATGTATCAAGGATGCTATTGTACTTGTAAAAATGTATCTTAGGGAAATAAGAGAAGAGAAAAAGTATTTTGCTTCAAAGATATTCATCACAGTACTACAAGCTAAAAAAGCTGAAAACAGGTCGGGTGCAGTGGCTCACGCCTGTAATCGCAGCACTTTGGAAGGCAGAGGCGGGTGGATCATGAGCTCAGGAGATGGAGACCATCCTGGCTAATATGGTGAAACCCCATCTCTACTAAAAATACAAAAAGTTAGCCAGGCGTGATGGCACATGCCTATAGTCTCAGCTCCTCAGGAGGCTGAGGCAAGAGAATTGCTTGACTCTGGGAGGCAGAAGTGGTAGTGAGCCAAGATGGTGCCACTGCACTCCAGCCTGGGTGTCAGAGCAAGACTCTGTCTCAAAAAAAAAAAAAAAAAGCTGAAAACAATATCTATAATAATGAATGTTTATGAGTACTTATGGTGTGCCAGGTAATTCTTCTATAAGAATAATAGAATTATAGATAATAATGGGATAAAAACGATTTAAGAATAAAGCCTCTTAGAGCATTATTCTAAGTACTCTGTTTTAAATAGCATGCACAACAACATAAACCTGATACTATTGTTATCCCCATTTTATGGGTGAGAGAACTGAGGAACGGAATGCATAAATTACTTGGCCATGGTCATAGGAAAAGGCAGGATGCCTGCTCCAGACTGTAATCTCCTACCTACCTATACTGCCTCCCATAATAGGGGTTATATTATTGCACAGCCATAGGAGGAAATATCATCTGGTTATTAAAAGTCATGATTTAGGAGAATACCTCATTAAATTAAAACATATTCATATTTTATATAAAGTCAAATTATAAAATAGTATGTATAGTATGATCCCTTAAGGTCATATGAGGTTATTTTCTGATGGTGTAAAGGGTAATTTTTAAAAAATCCTCCTTGAGATTTTTTTGTGTTTTCTTATGTAAGTATTTTAATTGAGAAAAAGAAAATAAATGGAGGAAAAAAGGAAAGGTAAAATACACATTTGCTTTCTCAACAAGACCTTCATATCCTGTATCTCTTTCCATAAGAAAGAGATAGTCATAAAGTATCTATATTCCAAAGAAACAAGCATATAAACTACAAAGCTATATAATGTAAAATGGTGATATGCTCCACGGTCTCTAAAGTGTGAATAATGTACTGTAAACAATGAATAGGCCGAGTGCCGTGGCTACACCTGTAATCACAGCACTTTGGGAGGCTGAGATGGGCGGATCACGAGGTCAGGAGTTTGAGACCAGCCTGGGCAATGTGGTGAAACCCTGCCTCTACTAAAATACAAAAAATTAGCTGGGCGTGGTGGCAGATCCCTGTAATCCCAGTTTGGGAGGCTGAGGCAGAAGATTGGCTTGAATCTGAGAGGCAGAGGTTGCAGTGAGCCAAGATTGTGCCACTGCACTCTGGCCTGGGCACCTGGGTGACAGAGCGAGACTCGTCTCAAAACAAACAAACAAACAAACAAACAAAAACAAAACAAAGCCCACATTGAATACACAAGGTAAGATAATGCATGAATTAGCTGGTATATAACACATTAAAGTGTTCTGTGTCTATGCAATTAACATTTTATATGTATATGGATAATTATTTGGTTTCATTCTTTTTTAGAATAAATATCTAGCCAAATTTATATTTTCTAATTTATTGAAAATGCATGCCATGGAAGTTTGAACTGAAGTCTTCTTTTCCTTCAGGGTAAATTTTGCCTTAGCATGCCCAAAACTCAAAACTTAGCTTGCTGTCCTCAAAGCACAATCTCTATGTGTTCACTGGTCAACCATTCTAGGGGGCCTCACAGGCATTTGCAAGAGTTCAGCCTCCCAGGCATCATCTGTAGAATAAATAAACAGTCTCTCCCAAGCATACACATACTGCCATCAACCAAGGAAAGAAAAAAACCTAGATAAATGTGATAAACACAAAAGAGGCTGCTAAGAAGCTGGTGATGCAGGTGTGATACGTGAGATGGTAAAAGGAGGGGAAAACCCACATTTTATCCAGATTGCAAGTCTTTTTAAAATTATCACAAATAATAACAAATAGCTTCTGACAACCTTAATGTACAAATGGATTCTGTGTAAAAGACTGGACATAAGACATAAAGACAAGAATACAGCAGCAGCAGCATCCATTTCAACTTCATTACCTATCTCAGCCTCTCATTTTCCAGTGAGGAAACTGAAGGAGGTTAGGTCTGTTTTCAATGTGACACAGCTGTCCAAAACTCCAGCTATTAGCTTTTGATCTTAGCTGTAATTGAGGAGGGCCATGTCCCAACCCTGGGCTAATTACAGATTCCATTCACTACATCACAGCTCACATATTGGACGCCAGCTTACCTGTAAAGTCTGCAAATTGATTCCACTACTTACAATATGCCAAATAGGATCTGCCAATGAAAATTTAAAAACTTGTATTTTGGCAGTGATGAAACTATTAAATTAAAAATAATAACTGTAAACAATATACATGCTGAAATGACTTACTAATAAATGAAATGCTTTTTAACTTAATGGAGGTTCCCTCAACTTTCTTGTGGGTATGATATGTTCCCCTACAGACTGGCTTGCTCTCAGAGCTGCCTGGATTACCTAGTCCACAAAGGACCAATGTAGTTCAGCTGAAGTGAGAGTGGAATATGTAAAATGATCTTTCATTACATTTTTATCTAACAAATATTTATTAAGCTCTTTGTTGACATCTGGCACTCAAAATACAATGCAAAAGCTGGAAATACACCCATATACAGAGCAGACTCCTTATTTTGAGATTGGTAATCAGAGTTTAATTACATATTGTTTTGGCCTATGTACAAGACCTGGCCCCCTTTCTTCATTTGTGTCTGACTTTACATATTCATTTGTTCATTCATTCACTGAGCAAACTATGAACCTGGTCCTATTCTAGGCAATGGGGATATAATGACCAGTTAAACAGAAAAGGCTGCTCTCATGGCTCTTACATTCCAGTAGACAGACTCAGCCTCTAAGTAAGTCAACAAAAAAGCAAGATGATTTCAGAGAGTGGCGAGTCCTAAACAAACTATGAAACAGGAAGAGGTAACAGAGAGTGATTGGCTGAGGATTGCTTCAGACAGGATGGATGAGGAAGTGACATTTGACTAAGACCTGACTGCTGTGAAGAAACCATGTAAATACGGGATAACGGAGAGGAGGCATTCCAGGTAGACAGTGCAGCAGGTGCAAGGGCCCTGAGGTAAGGTTGGGCTTGGTAAGCAGGAGGAGCAGAAAGAAGCCAGTAAGCCAAAGCATGCTGGGAAGGGGCATGTATGGTACGAGATGAAACAAAATGCAGGATCACAATATTTGTTCTGAAGTGATGAGGGTTCAGAATAGCCCTATAGTCACATGAGTTTGGGATCATCAATTTCTTCGAAGATGTGGTTTGCTTCTGGTCTTCTCTGGTTACTCTCTGGCCCCCATTGTCCTCCCTTGCCTTCAGGTGCAGGGTTCTCAAAGTCCTCTGGCTTCATGTCATCTTGTGCTTAGTGTTGCTGGTATCTTCATACTCCTTCATACTCCTTAACATCAGCATCAGTTCTTAGAAATTCCACCCTGCCCTGGACAGATCTCTTACCTTGCTAGATGTGCATACTCACTAACTAGTGATAAGGCTGGATCCACCTTCAGGACAGAATTCATCTACTTTCAGTAAGCAGAAACTCTCAAAACAAGCTCATTTATATATGATATTGCATCATCTGTTGCAAGAAGGCATGAAAAAATTAGTTGCATACTTTTTTGTGTATCTATTGCAGTTCAGAGAAAATTTTTTTTACGGAATCAATCAAAAATTGAATCTTTAAAATTTTCAAAATAACAATGAAGTTTCAAGAGCCAGGCAAAGAGTTGCTGTGTCATTGTCACCTAAAATCTCAGAAAGGGCTCCCTGAGTGAAGCCACGTGTTTTGCCCTGAGACTTCTTGACTTTGTGAAGAAAGGCACCACATTCCCTTGGACAATGGTCCTACCTTATGATTTATATAGCAAGAGTCCTGTTCTACCAAATTCCAACTATGAGCTCTTAGGCAAGTTTATGAACAGTCCTCAATACCAGTTTTCTTTCTTTCTTTTTTTTATCGTACTTTAGGTTCTGGGGTAAATGTGCAGATCATGCAGGATTGTTGCGTAGGTACATACATGGCAATGTGGTTTGCTGCCTTCCTCCCCCCATCACCTATATCTGGTATTTTTCCCACATTGTCCCTCCCCACTCTCTGCTGTCCCTCCCCTGGTGTCCCCCAACTGACTGCAGTGTGTGATGCTGCCCTCCCTGTGTCCACATGTTCTAATTGTTCAACACTCATGTATGAGCGATACCATGCAGTGTTTGGTTTTCTGTTTTGTGTCAGTTTGCTGAGAATGATGGTTTCCAGATTCATCCATGTCCCTATGAAGGACACGAACTCATCATTCTTTATGGCTGTATAGTATTCCATGGTGTATATGTGCCACATTTTCTTTATCCAGTCTATTGTTGATGGACATTTGGGTTGGTTCCAGGTCTTTGCTATTGTAAACAGTGCCACAATGAACATAGGTGTGCATGTGTCTTTATAATAGAATAATTTATAATTCTTTGGGT